TGTGTGTGTGTGAGTGTGTGACCATCATTAGTGTATTATTGACAAAATTGTGATATCTATAGCACAGTATATTGCGATATCCTACCAGATGCTCTTTTTCATTAATTCAGAGCATGAGAAATCACGTATGTGAGGTCACACGTGTTCAACTTTTTCCTCTTGCACAAACAGCTGAGCTTTATTTAACTTCCTCCATCTCTTTGACGTGACTTTTAATAAGAGCAGGTCACAGCTGTGCTAAATGTAAAAATGTTTTAGAGCCTGTTTAGGCTCATGGGCTTGAGTCTCACTCAGTGTTCTGGCAGCAGTAAAGTAGTTATTTTTCCAGCGAGGTTTAGTATTATCACAAGGTTAGCAGCATCTCGCAGTGCACTGCACAAGACATGGTTAATGTTTCTATTTCTATTTTTTGGTTGTGTTTTACAAGTGTTTTAACCCTTGTTGATATACCGTGACTTTTTGGCTAAACTTCTCTGTGGTCATCATTCTCGGTCAATGCTGATTTTTATATTTTTCAGCTCAGTTTAGTAATATGGCCAAGCATATCACATTTTGGCCTGACTCTAACAATCTTCATGCTTTTATTAAATGTTCTTTTTCAGTTTGCTCAGATAAAAATATATGTATATAATTACCTTGGAGTCCAAAAATTGTAAATAAACATTTTAGTTCATTTTTATTTAATTTATTATTATTATTATTATTATTATTATTATTATGGTAATACTTTAAGGTGTCATTTGTTAACATTAGGGTTGCAAAGGGGTGGAACATTTCCGGTAATTTTCCAAAAATCCGTGGAATATTCAAAAAAAAAATTCCTGGAATGTTTCTGAAATTTACTGGAAATTTTCCACCTTTTTGCAACCCTAACATTAAAGTGTTAACTAACATGAATGAACAATACATGTCCTACAGTATTTATGCATCTTTGTTAATGTTAGTTTAGAAAAATACAGTCGTTCATTGTTTGTTCATGTTAGTTCACAGTGCATTAACTAATGTTAACAAGCACAACTTGTCATTTTAATAATGCATTAGTGAATGCTGAAATTAGCTAAGATTAATAAATGCAGTAGAAGTATGTTCATTCTTAGTTCATGTTAACTAATGAGGTTAACTAATGAACCTTATTGCAAAGTGTTACCATTATTATTTTATTTTAAAAAAGTATTTTTTATTTTAAAAGTGTTTTAATGATGTAATAGGAAATCCTTGATGTTTTTTAATATGTATGTTTCTTTCAGGAGGGAGGCTCAGGTTGATGTAGAAGGACAGTTTCTGGTCAGAATTATCTATGAAGATGCAAAAACATACGACCTTGTGGCTGCTGCAAGCAAAGTGCTAAGTAAGGTTGTTTTTGTTGTAGTTTTGGAAAGATGGAGGTAATCATTTGCTAAAACCTAAATCAAATTGATTTATTTACTTATGAAGTGGTTTAGAATTCAGAAGTGGCCTGTTAGAAATGTTCTGTTGTGAGAGAACAACATCATGATTAACTGGTATTATACAATGAAATGCAGAAAAATTACATAGTTTAAATTGAAAAATCTTTTCATTTTTTCTCTTGCCTGTTGATTTAAATATGGTTTCTTCTCCGCTAGAAATGGATGCCGGATGCATCTTGCAAATGTTTGGGAAAATGTTCTTTGAGTTCTGTCAGGAGTCTGGTTATGACACGATCCTCCGAGTGCTGGGCTCCAATGTCCGTGAATTCTTACAAGTAAGAGGCTACTGTTTTTATCACCCAAAAATCAGCAGCAGCAATGTTGAGAAAGTGACACGAGCAACACTGTCTGTTCTCTATTTCACACATTGCATGTAGTGTGCTGAGTTTTAGAAGAGTTAGAAATAATAAGAGTCTCAAGCTATTTTGTTAGATTGAACAATAAAAATGACATGTTGTGTGTTAGTGCAGATAAGTGACAATAACATCATCAGATATATTTTTTTAATTAATCCTTAATGTCCTTTTGTTGTTTTTTGTGACCAATTTGTGAAGCAATAATGTAAATTATAGAACTTTTTTTCATTTTGTGAAAAATTCCATACAGCTTTTCGGTAACACTTTACAATAAGGTTCCATTAGTTAATGTATTAACTAACAAGAACAAAAATGAACGATACATTTATTACAGTATTTATTAATCTTTGTTAATGTTAGTTAAGGAAAATACAGTTGTTCGTGTTAATTCACAGTGCATTGACTAATGTTATCAAGCACAAATTTTATTTTTAATAATGCATTAGTAAATGCTGAAATTAACATGAACTAAGATTAATAAATGCTGTAGAAGTATTGTTCATGCTTAGTTCATGTTAACCAAAGTAGTTAACTAATGAACCTTAAAGTGTTACCGCTTTTTCTATAGTGAAATTAAAAATTATTGTTAGGGAGTAACTTTAAAAACAGAGACACTTTGATTTTCATATATATTAAATATTTATATATATTTATTATAATTGTAATAATATATTTTTATATTTATATTTATTTGTTTAAATATTAATTTAATTAAATACTGCACTTTATTGTATGTGTAAATTTATGGTTAGTTGCAAATCTGTGTTTATAAAACGGAGAGTTCCGGTGCTTGATTCTGATTGGCTGAGCCACGTTCAAAGCTGTTGTAAATGACTCTACAAAGTAACATACACCTTTGTTTATGTTTGTGTGTTGCTCGGCAACCACTTTGTAGCAACCACAACTGTTTCTGAGGAGCTACATTGTTTGGTGGAAGAATACTGTTTTTATTAATATCATTACACTTTATTTGCTCCGTTTTATTTTGTGAAACCTTACTACGTATATGGAATAAACGTTTTATAAAAGCAATAAGCCCCGTGAAGCCGTGGTTTACAGTGAATTTATAACAGCTAAGGCTCCGCTTCGCGTTGCACCTAACAACGCTCCTTAGCTGTTATAAATTCACTGTAAACCGCGGCTTCACGGGGCTTATTGCTTTATTAGGTGTGCCTAACTTCATTGTTGCTGACCACTTTTTCAATTGGGTAGATTGATTTCACTACTTTAAATATTGAGTAGCATTTTGCAAACTGCAAACTAGATAACCGCTTTTCACTGCTTTTCCTCATACTCACTCAGTTCAGCTTAGCAGCAATCTGCTCTTTGCATCATCACATTAAGATCAGCTTGTTCTCTCCTTCAGAATCTGGATGCATTGCATGATCATCTAGGCACCATCTACCCCGGCATGCGCGCGCCCTCCTTCCGCTGCACGGATGCGGAGCGAGGGAACAACCTCATTCTGCACTATTACTCTGAGAGAGAGGGTCTTCAGGACATCGTCATTGGGATCATCAAGACGGTTGCGCAGCAGATTCATGGAACTGAGATTGAGATGAAGGTCTGCTTGTGCTGTGAGCGTCCTCCCATAGAGATAGATTTTTTTGAAAAGAACTTAGAACTTTTATTCAGCACGGATGCATTACATTGACTGAAAGTGACAGAAAAGACGAAAAAAAATAATCTGTTTCAAATAAATGCTGTTTGAACTTTCTATTCATTAAAGAATCATAAATAAAACATTGATAATAATAAACGTGAAAATTAAGACTGCGGTAATGATACTGAAAATTCACAAGAATAAACATTTTACAATATACTAGATGAGAAAACTGTACTTTTAAATGAATTAATCTATATATAATAACATGTATAATATATTCAAATAAGACTGAATGAGAAAACCGAACTTTTAAATTAATTATAATATTAGTAATAATATTTCTCAATATTACTTTTTAATAAACGCAGCCTTGGTGAGCAAAAGAGACTTCTTTTAATAACATGTTTAAATTTAAGAAATTCTTAAAAGTATATATATATATATACATTAAATATATATATATATATATATATATATATACACGTATAATCTTACTCTATAAAATATATATATATATATATATATATATACACGTATAATCTTAATCTATATATATATTAACATGTATAAATATATAAAAATAAGACAAACAAACAGTAATGTGCGTGCTAAATTCTGCAATCATCTAAACATGACTGGAGGTAGATTTTCTCTCGTTCTCACCGAGAGAGGCTCATCGATAAACAACATTATGATGAACTCCCTGCGGTTTATTCTTTGTCACCTCACTTCAGTCTCGGCCATATTTTTCAACTAAATCCCCCTCAGCCAATAAGAGCTAATCATCCCCCAGACTCTCTCTCTGTCTCTCTGTCTCTCTGTCTCTCTGTCTCTCACTCTCTCTCTCTCTGTCTCTCTGTCTCTCACTCTCTCTCTCTGTCTCTCTCTCTCTCTCCCTCACTCTCTCTCTCTCTGTCTCT